GTATACAGTAAGGTAGAGGTCCCACCTTTACGATATAGACCGGCGTATACAGTAAGGTAGAGGTCCCACTTCTATGATGTAGACCGTCGTATACAGTAAGCTAGACGTCCCACCTCTATGATATAGACCGGGGTATAAAGTAAGGTAGAGGTCCCACCTTTACGATATAGACCGGCGTATACAGTAAGGTAGAGGTCCCACTTCTACAATATAGACCGGCGTATACAGTAAGGTAGAGGTCCCACCTCTATGATATAGACCGGCATATAAAATAAGGTAGAGGTCCCACCTCTACGATGTAGACCGGCGTATACAGTAAGGTAGACGTCCCACCTCTATGATATAGACCGGCATATAAAGTAAGGTAGACGTCCCACCTTTACGATATAGACCGGTGTATACAGTAAGGTAGAGGTCCCACCTCTACGATATAGACCGCCATATAAATTAAGGTAGAAGTCCCACCTCTATTGCACATAAAGGATTTCCTCTGAAAATGGTCCTTTCTAACTGACCTGAGCCCCTGCTTAAAGCACAGGCCCTGCAGTTCCACTCCCCCCTTCATCACCTGGCAGGAGTCGATGCCCCCCTCCAGGTAGCCGGCGCAGATCATCCAGGGAGAGATGAAACCCTGGTATACACCAGGCTGGCTGCACGCCTTGTTGGAGAGCAATGGCACACTTGCAGAGTGCAGTGAGATGCTAGCCTCACCTGAACAACAGAGGGCGCATTGGTTAAGGTGCTGATCAGTGAACAAACTGAACATAGCAAGGTGGTCTAGGAACTGATCAAAGTCTTACAATATTAAGCATTTTATGTTAAATCCAATAGCAAATGCATCTTACGGAAGGATTATACAAAAATGTTTCAGAGAACACCAAACACTTGACCTCTGCAGTCTCTACTTATGCCATCAGTCAATATACACCCAACCTGTCCCACCATAAACAGCCCCACACATCACTCACCCCCATCCTCTGTGGCCCCCCAGCCTGAGATCCAGCACATCTTGCCATCCTCAAACTCCTCCCCAAAGTTAGGCAGGCAGATTGGCTCAACCACTCCTGAAGCATAAACTGTGAATCAGAGCCTGAACTTCATGGTAGCAAGACAAATCCGGAGAGAAACCAACAAAATGAAAACATATGCAGGCGGGTTACCATTGAACAGGAGTGGCTTGACCAGTTTCATGAGGGCAATGTCATAATCCAGGCCCTTGGGCCGGTAGCGGCTATGGTAGAAAATCTTCTCCACTGAGAGGTACTGTGCCCCGTTCACTGGCTGCTCCATCATCCCGACCACCACAGCCCACAGCGTTGGGTATGCAAATCTACAAAGGGAAAGGCCTCCCTTACAGCACAGCACACCCATCAGGAAACACGGAACTGGGAGAGGAGGTGGACATCAGCAGGCGATGCGTCCGTCTCACTGCACTCACAGCACATCAAGCATTCTGCTCCTCAGAGACTGTGACCAGGCCTGTCGTGGTGAATCTGTTAGATGCTTTCATTGCATACAAAGAGGACTCACCCATAGACGCAGTGTGCGGCCGTGAGGACCCACCGTGGGGCCACAATGGAGCCTCCACACAGATGCTCCCTCTGGAAGTGCAGGCTCACCTGCCAGGGGAACTGGCCTTCAGCAGACAGGTTTCCACCCACAATGCGGGGGCTGTAGCTAGGCCGGTAACCGCAATCTGCATGAAGTGTGCACACACAAGAACATGACAGACACGGGACAGATGCATGGCAAACACATGATAGACATGTGACAAACATGATAGACACGGGACAGACACATGGCAAACACATGATAGACGTGTGACAAACATGACAGACACGGGACAGACG